AGTGGTACCATGGTGCATGCAGCTTGCCCCTCTCACCTGTCAGCACCCTTGAGAGCTCTCTCCTTCCTTCACGTCATGAGGTCAGAGCCCCCAACTCATGTCTACACTTCTAATGAACAGCATTTATCTTGAGCGTTAATCCACTAGGAGGCAGCAGACCCATGTGCAACAGAAAGGTTTCATGCAGAGGCAGGAAGGGTACTGTTTTGTTTTGGTTGAAACAATAATTCAGCCCTTTTTTGGGTCAGAAATGGTGTTTTCTTTCTGTTTTGAAAAATGTATTCTTGCAGGTTACCTTTCTGGAAGTAAGTAATGGTACAAATAAGTCAAAATTGTGGGTGATGTAAAAAATAACATTCAGTATATTTTTGTAGAAATTCATTTTGTCTTAATCCTAGCTCTATTTATTCAGTAAGTTAAGAAACTGTTACATGGAAATCAGATTAAATAATTATTTATGTAATTCAGAAGTTTTAAATTCTGATATTTCATGAATGCTTTAATATTGAAGTTATGCTAATTCAAGTATATCATGAGCATCTCTAAGAGATGATTAAGATGCTTGAAAACTAAACTGTACTAGAGAAAGTGACATATAGCTAAGAGGTTATATGACTGCCTCATCCAGTTGATAGCAGACTCCTCATTTTCTGTATTTTTTAAATGACAGAACAAAAAGCAGTTGCCGCATTAACAATTTACAAGGTAAATTGGAACAGAGATTGTGATGCCCTGTCCTAATAAATCAGTCCTGTGTTGAGAAGTGCCACTATTGGAGTCACCGTCTGTGTAGGGCGTGCCAGGTGTATCTGCTCAAAACATAGGGACATCACCATGTGGTGAACTTAGACCCCACTGGTCACGACAGAAGCTGTTCTCTTTAGCTCCTGAAAGCTAGGTAATTTATGCAGTGTTTATATATTATGGCTGTGTATTCTTTCCAAGGTTAGATTTTAGTCTTCTTCTTTTTTTGTGGGGGGGCTGTCAGGGTATTCATGACTATTATTAAAATTCCTGTGCTTGGCCTGTTTCTATGGGACTTTCTGACTTCTTCATTTATCCTAGTTCTTCATATGTTAAATATTGTCTCTTTCTTATACGTTATGTGATCTCTACTTTTGTTTTAAGGATATTTGATTGTAATGGCTACATCACTTACTTTTCATTATTTTTTACCTCTCTCGTATATGAAAAGTAAATTATTAATGAAATTGAAATTCTCAAATTTTTATTTACTCATGTAAATTTTAAGATTATAACCTTTGTCCACTTTTTATTGAGTTGTTTCTATTACCTATTTGTAGGAAGGTTTTTTCCTATTTTTTTAGTATTCTTTCTTTGTCATATTCTTTGTTTTCTTCCATGCATATTTATTTCATTCAACATATGCTTACATTTGTAATGTGTGTACATGTGTTGTACATAACATTAAATCATATGCAGTCAGGTTGGTCAGTTTTTCCCTCCATGGTTTTAATTTTGTATCATGCTTAGCTGATATTTTATCCCTCACTTTAAGATTATATTATTAGATCATGTAATAAGTATGTGTTTATTATTTCCATGTAGTAATTTGTTTTCATATTTTTCTCATTTTTTATTAATGTATGTTTGTGATGCACATCCATTTTGGCAACTTTGCACAGATACATATCACATCTCCATCCTGTCTCCCTCCTGTCTCCCCTCATCCACAGATCCCCTTCCCCTCCTTTCAGAGAATCAACTTTTACTCATCGATTATTTGTGTTGTTTTCATCTCATCTTAATTTCATTATCTGATCTTTATAATTCCCTTTCTTGTGTTAGCTTTAGATTTGGACTGTTTTTGTCTGTCTAGTACCTCTAAGTACATCTTCATTAGGTCATTTACTTGGGATTGCGCTATCCTTTTTATATGTGCATTTACAGCTACAACCTTCCTTCTTAGAATTGCTCTCATTGTGGCCCAGAGCTACTGGCATATTGTGCTGCCATTATCATTTGAACTTTTTCTTTCTTGAGTTCTTCTCAATCAATGTATTTTTAATAATTTATTATTTTAATCTCTATATTTGCATTGTTTCTGTGACTTCTGTTGGTATTGGTTTCTATCTTCATTCCATTGCCTAGCCTATGGTCTTTTTTGGAAAACTTCCTTGTGCCGTTGAGAAAAATGTATATTCTATTGCTGTTGGATGAAACACTGTAGATATCTGTTAAGTTCACTTGTTCAGTGATGTGCTTTAACTCTTCACTTTTGGTTGAACTTTTTGTATCGTTGACCTAATGGTGAAAGTAGGTTTTGAATTTCCCCACTGATTGCAGTGGTGTTTAGCCGTCCTTTTTAGTGTAGCTTTTGTTTCAGAAGATTGTTTGTACCAATATCTAATGCATAGATATTTACAATTGTTCTCTCTTCCCTTTGATTCATTTCCTTTTCCAGTATGTAGTGGTCATCTTTGTCTTCCATTTATCCAGTTTCTCTGTGGTTTCTAGATTGTACTCAGTGCTTTCTTGGTTTCCAGAGATCTCCTTTTTTTCTTCGCTAACTTGTTTTCTAGGTTTCTTGTTTCTACATCCCAGAAAGAGAGTTTTGCTACCTATCTTTATTCCACTATTTGTAACCCTCAATTTTGAATATTTAAATAAATAATTTATTAAAGATTTATTTTGCTGTGTGATATGAGGAAGGGTTCTGTTTTTCTCCAAAAATGTTTTTAGTCATTGTTACTTTGTAATTTATTAAGCTATTTTCATCACTTAATGTAACTTTAAAAAACAAATCCTTTAGCTTTGAGATAAATACGTGCCTTTATTATACAGAAGCCTGTTTTGTATTATCAGCATATTAACATACTCTCTTTTAAAAAGAAAAGCTTTATGCCTCTGTAAGGCAGTCCAGAAAAATCCGTTGAGATTGAAAAGAGCCATAATTAAGTACAACAAACAAAACCTCTCCATCAGGGCTGGTAAGATAGCTTAGTGGGCTAAGAACCTTCTTAGGCAATGCAAGAACCAGGGTTCAATCCTTGGCACCACATGCCATCCTGGCCCCACCTCTGAGTACACTGAGCCAGCCACCAAGTCCAGGCGTGGTGGCCCACGCCTGTACTCCCAGTGCTGGGGAGGCTGAAAACAGGAGGGTCACTACAAATCCAAGCTGCATAGTGAGACCTTGTGCCAAATACATGAAAAACAAACAAACAAACAAACAAAAGCAAAACCTCTCCATTTTACAAAAGGAAAATTGACTCTCAAAACAGCAAGAAGAAATTATTTGAAAACTAACTGGTGTTATATGATTGATGCCTCTTCAGTATTTATATTTTTTTAGGTTTCACTTGCGAGAAGTGTTTATTACTTAATCCTCAGTGAACATAAGTCCTGTATTCTGGAGTATTTTATCATTCTCTTGATTAAGTAAATAATGACTACTAAAAAGACATTTAAGATATGTAAATAAACCACTTATTTTAAATAAAAAAGAATGAGAGGCTAAGATAGAAATGTTGAAGTTCTTTTTGTTAGAAATGTCGAAGTTCTGTGGGATGGGGTTTCATTTTTATGTGTACTTGACATTTGATATGAAAACATGCATAAAGCTTTAGACCTTCCTTTGTTAAGAGCCCTTTTCTTAGCGCAGTGGTCGTAGACATCAGGATTATGAGTTTAGCATGAGTTAGGATCACTTGACTTTTCATCTTAAATTCTTTAAATATTCTAAACCTGTGCAAAGGTCAAATCGTGATACAGTGACTCCACCTGGGTACAATTGTAGACATTTTTCAACATTTGCTTTACATGTTTTATATATTCATATTTCTGTAGTTGTTCCCATCATATTTTATACCTTCCTGATTCAGACTCCAGTACCAAGGAAGAAAGAAAGAAATCACACTGTATCTTCTGATGTTTTAGCGTTTTGAGTGCTTCTGTTCTTTAATTGGAAAACCTCCCCCCGAACTGGGGATGTGTCTCAGTGATGGAGCCCTTGGCTACCGTGCATGAGGTCCTGGATTCAATCTTCAATATAACCAAAAGTTTAAAAAAATGAAACACTGGCTCTTTGTTGTATTTGTGTGTGTGTGTGTGTGTGTGTGTGTGTGTGTGTATTAATCATTTTTAAAAGTACAGGTCAGTTATTTTGTAGATTATACCAGTCTAGATTAGTCTGATATTTTTTCTTCATAGTTAATTCAGGTTATATATTTGAACAAAGAAAAAATATGTAAGCCATATTATTACTTTTCATTTATTACTCATCCTATGAGATTAATGTAAGTTGTCTCATTCTTAGTACTAAATTTGATTTTTTTTGAACAGCTATATCTGTGATTATTATCTCAATGTCATCTGCATGCTAATAATTTGAAGTAATATGAATGATCTGTGGTTTTAGCATCCTTTAATGATCTTGCTTTTAATGATCAGTTATTATAGATACATGAAAACAGTAATTTTTAAGCTTTTCACTTATACTAACTTCCACATATACTAACTAGAAATATTTCACTTTCACTTTAATATTTCCTTTTATGCTGTAAAGTGAAAGTTTTTGAGGTGGGGTATATTATAATGAAATATATCTTTTGTCTTACTGTCCTCAAAATTTTTTTTATTTTTTTTCCGGAACCGGGGATTGAACTCAGGCCCTTGCACTTGCCAGGGAAGTGCTTAGTCCAACTGAGCCATCTCCCCGGCCTCCTGTCCTCATAAATTTTATGGCAGTAAAATGAAGTACAATTCTGTGTGCCCCTAAGTGTATTTGCTATCTTGATGGAATAGGAACGATGACAATGTTTGGGGGTAATAAGTACAGTTTACATGATAATATTCTTTTCATAATTAAGTGATTTTTGTTACTGATTAGATTTAAATCATTTCATTTTCTTTTGCAGAGTTGTTTATCGTTATCTATTTTTCCTTTTTAACTGCCTAATTACCTGGTTGCTTCTAATTTAATTACCTCTATGTCCATAACATTTATAAAAATTACACATTAATTTCCATTATTATAGCTGTGGAAATACAAAGGACACTGAATCAACTTGGAACACCTCAAGACTCACCTGAATTGAGGCAACAGCTGTAAGTACTTAACTGCAAAAGGAAAAGTTACTGTTACACTGCTTTTTTAGAATGTGTTTACTATGGAAATTTGTTAAGTTTTTTTTTTTTTAACTACCTCACCTAGACATTGTACCGTATGGTTATGTAGTTTTGACCCTGCCCAAAGTAGGAGGATGTTTTTGATGGGCTAGCTTACTCCATCAAACTAAACCTTTTTGAGTTGGTCTTTCTTATGCTTTTTAAATTGGTTGTTTTAGACAGCTTTTTAAAAATTGGATTCATTCTTCTCAATTTATGTGATTTATATTCATAGGTGACTATCCTTTGAGTGACAGATTTGTACTAGGTTCAGGTGTGGCACTTGCCAGGTTCTGTGAGTTGTCGTCCCTAAATCCCACATCTTTCAATTTCAAAAAGCAGTAGCTTCTGTTATGAAACAGTTATAATGAAATGATGCATTACATGTTCCAGTAAATTAAGATGCTGTTAGAATAGTAACTGTACCTTTCCGTAGCATGTCACAGATTTGACAGTGTTTTCACATGCCCTTTCATCTATTTGGAGTGAGGTAGATTAAAAGCACTGTTTCTAGTATACCTAAATGTTATGCCTAGTGTATGTTTTTAGGGATTGATGATTTGCCCAAAATTATTTACAACCTGACTCTTATGTTTTCAGTGCTGATTTGCTTACAAATTTCAAGTAGCATATAGCTAATATGTGGTATCTCCAAAGTGATAGCTCTTGCTATTGAAGGAAAATTGCAAAGAAGAAATAGATAATAACAATTCATATTTTTAAGAAGTAGAATTTAAAGAATTTGCAATTGCTTGTAACTTATATTTTACTTTTTCTTCAGTAGATAGAATGTCCAAAATCTATAAATACATCTTCATTTATTAAAATAAATGAAGATGAAAAGAAACTGTATGATTTTAACATTTATTATTAGTAGTGGAAATTCTATGTGTGTAAGCATTATCATTGTGGTCTTTAGAACTTTGACGATATTACTATTTCCATATATTTAAATAAACACATCAAAGATAGGATATTCAGTAAATAAGAGTATAAATAGCTTATATTTCTTTGCGTATTAGTTCCATACAGATACTTACGCATGTTCTTACAGTGTCCCTTCAGGGTGGCCAGCACATGATTAAAAGGAGAGAGCTAATGTCCCTGAGAGGCACTGTTGTTGTTGTTGTTGTTGTTGTTTATAAAGCATCAGCTTAAAGCAAGCTTACTTTTTTCAGCATCACATTTTTTAGTTGAAAATAGTTTTTATTTTTTACATTAATTAGGAAGATATGGGTATGGATAAGTTTATATCCCCTTACAAGGAAATGCTATTAATTATGCTTAAATAATAGTAAATTTATACTGTGATTACATCCTCTATTTTTTACAGTATTCATAGGATATAAATGTAGAGAAATAAGAGGGATCAGATGTACCAGGAGCTGGGCCAAGTGCATGGCAACTGAGCTTACTCACTCAGCTCACCTAAGTGAGGTTAGATAAAAGGCTTCCGCATTTCCAGCACTTCACACTTACAATTAAATCCTCCTGACTTGAATTACCTTCTTTTCTAAATGGCTAATGATATTTCTATAAGCTTGTTTACTGCATCTGAATGAAAAACTTTAATATTTATCAAAAATAGCATATGAAAATTTGGTTTTGACAGGAAATTTAGAACCGGTTTATAAAACTTCAAGCAGTTTTATAGTTTATATACTCTAAAATTATGAAGATTTTGTAAAAGGTGATTTTTCTGAAGCTGTTCATCAGGGCTGATGAAAGTGGCAGAGTTGTAGCACAAAGAAATAGCAGTTCTTTGGCTGTAACCTGTGTTTTCTCACTTCAGGCAACAGAAGCAGCAGTATACTAACCAACTTGCCAAAGAAACAGATAAGTACATTAAAGAGTTTGGATCTCTACCCACCACCCCCAGTGAACAGGTATTAACCTTTAAGACACGTGATGTACTGGATGTGAAAGAAATCAAATGCATTGTAGACTCCTAGAACTGTGATACTAAAAAAGAAAGTTAAGGGGCAGATAAATCCTATTGAAGAGTAGTTCACAGAATGCAAACCTGTGTTCAATTACTCAGGTAGTATCCTATGGGTCAGTAAAGCAAAAATGATTTTCATGCAGTTGCTTTGACCTGTAAAGTGCTTCCAGGGTACTTGCTCCTGGCCTTCCAGGCCTGGCTCTGTCCAACACACAGGCACATTCACCACGGCAGGCTGCCCAGGGGCACGTGTTTGTTTCCATAGCTATGTAATGGACGTAAGATATGACATAGGTAAGAGTAGATTTTACTTGCCCATCCCCAAGAGAATTACTTTAGAATAACTTCAAAATCATGATCTAGTTCCTAGCTGCTACAAACATTGTAGGTTAGAAATATAGGAAGTTGAGCCTTTTGTCTCAAGGTAAATATGCACAGTGGTTGAACATATAGCTAAAATTTTACTGAGAGTAAATCAGTAAGTTGGGGATTTAATATTTTTAGAATTAAATAGTCAGCCAGCTTGATTCTAATAGGCTTTTTTTCCCCCTTTCCTCTAGCGTCAAAGGAAAATACAGAAGGATCGCTTAGTGGCTGAATTCACAACAGCACTGACAAACTTTCAGAAGGTCCAGCGGCAAGCCGCTGAGAGAGAGAAGGAATTTGTGGCCCGAGTAAGAGCCAGTTCCAGAGTGTCGGTAAGTACTTCACACAGTATTGTGAGAACAAAGTTTCTGTTCTCTCCAGGCCTCTGGGAAATCTGCTTTGCATTATTTTTAAGTCATAGACATCTGAGTGTCTTGAAAATCCATACTTGAATGCTTATTTTCAGGCTTTTCTGATCAGTTTTTAAGGGCGATGGTTATATATTGTTATCATGCCTGGGTCGTGGAGCAACAGATTGCAAACCTCGCACACTATGGAAACTGTCAGAAAAGATTCAGAGTGGAATGGTGGGAGTTTTTGACAGCGAGTCAGCACCATAGCTCTCTGCCGTGTTCCTGCTAACCAGACAGTGCCATACTGCGAGAAGCAGAAGAGACACAGTGGAGCTGAGCAGAGTATACAGCGTGTCCAACAGGAACATAGCATGTGGGCATGGAGAGAATAAGAGGATGAGTGGAGGTGAAATTTTCAGATAATATAATGTTAAATTCCCTCAGAATTTAATTATATTCATCTATCTATCTATCTATCTATCTATCTATCTATCTATATAATTTTATTTTTATTTTTTTATTTTTTTCTTTAGACACAGAGCCTCGCTGTGCAGTTCAGGCTGGCCTTCCACTCACTTTGTAACTCAGGCTGATCTCAAACTCCTAGCTATCCTCCTGCACCTCAGCCTCCCAAGTGCTGGGATTACAGGCATATGCCACCACACCTGGCATGAGTTATTTTCTTATTTTTTAGTGTAGAAGTTCCACAACTACATTAAATTTTAACCAAATATTTATTTGATTAATAATAATATTTGGCTAGGATTTATTATTTGGTCTTTGAGAATATTTAATGAATTACTTAGCTCAAAATATCACATTATTATTATTTGAAGCAGTTGGCCTAGAAAATTAGAATAAGAAATTTTCTTGTCTGTGTACACAGAGATAAGTACATACATGCACATCTCAAAAACATAAATAAATTTAGATTATTTTAAAGTAAAATGTGAATTTTGTTTATCTTTTCTTGTCCTTACTTTCTTTGTTCTCTCTTAAACTATCAGGGTGGTTTTCCTGAGGACAATTCCAAAGAAAGGAATCTTGTATCCTGGGAAAGGTAAGAAATATAAATTATTTTGTAGATCAAAAGATAACATTTGTCTCTGTTCTGTCTAGTTGTGAGGCAAGGTCTCGCTGTGTTGTCCAAGCCAGCCCTTGAACTTCATGTGGAGGCCCCGCTGGCCTCAAACTTGTAGTCCTCATTTGTTAGTGTCCTGAGTGCGGGTACTGAGAGGTGTGTACCACCATGCCATACCGTAAATAATTGTGTTCTCTGGAGTAGAAAAAGCTTTCAGTATATTATAGCGTAAGTGTCTTGTGTTTTTTATAAATTTTAAAGCAATATGTTTCAAAATTTATTCTATAGTAAATTATCTAAATATTTAATGCTTTAATTTTTCATATGGTTCACTTCCTTATGATGTTTATGTTAGCTGAGAAGAAACTCACTTGCCAAATACGGTTTTCAGTAATGAAATAACTAAACTCATACAAGATAAAATAATAGGACAATTAAAAAATGAGAGTAAATTTTGAATTCTTAGCATTTTTTAAGGTGAGCAGTTCCTTGAGTTTGAAGAGCAGTACATCCTACCTAGAATTTCTTAAGTATGCAGCAATTCCTGTTGTTTTGAATACCAGAATTTTTCTCATATTCTTTCTCTTTATTAGCCAAACACAGCCTCAAGTACAAGTGCAAGATGATGAGATTACAGAAGATGACCTCCGCCTCATTCATGAGAGAGAGTCTTCTATCAGGCAGCTTGAGGTAAGCCTCACTTAGAGAATTGGGCTGCGGCTGTCCTAGTGAGTCTGCTCACAAGCTTCGATAATGCTGAGAAAGAAAGAGAACTAAGGGTTAAATTTACTAGCGTTTCTAATGTATAAATTGGAACCATAATAATCTCTTCAGTTTCTATGCTAGGAGAAGAGAAGAATATGTTTCCCCTGCCTGAGCTTTTTCTTTTAATTCAATTAAATCACTTTAGTATTAGAAAATAATAATTTATAGGTCAGTATCTGGCCAAGACTAGATTGCTTCGCATGGCATGTAATATCATACCTGCATGAATAAAACTGTACAACAACTTGGAAGGTCTCTGATTTGTCTTCAGTATGTTTATAACATCAGAGAGACCTACAGGATTTGTTAAGTCATGGTTCTTGTGAAAACTGCCTTGTTCTTAGAAAGTGAGCTAATATAGCGATTTGATTTGAAACTGTCTCATTGCTATTTGTTTATCAATAAAATTATGAAAAAAAAAAAAAAGGAAGTGAGCTAATAATAACTAACAGTGTGTGTGGTGTGTCAGGAGCCTTCAGAGTGCCGGGCTCTGAGTGATGAATTTCTTATTAGTTACCTCAGTGATCCCAGAAGCTCTGTGACCAGTTAGCTGTGTCATTATGGTCTCTGTTTTATAGATGGGGAAATGAAGGCCTATGATGAATATGTAAAATGTCCCAGCCCCTTGACAGAATATTTCAATGTTACTTTTTAACTGGAAAAAATAATAGTTATACATTGAAGAAAAGTAAATTTATGATTTCTTTCCTCAGTAAACATAAATTCTTTCAGTCATGAAATCTAAATTCACTAACACACTGCATATTCAAATTTTCTAGTTTGAGACTTTAAATTTATATGTAATGTTTTGGCATTTTAAACTATCAGTATGTGACTGGAAATGTCATAAGCATATTTATACTCTTGTAAACACCTACTCTTTTGGCAACAGAAGTATTAGGTTGGATCGCCTACACCTAGAAGCCAAAGGCATGTGTTTAATCACAAGCCCACAACTCTTTGTACTGCTTGATCATTTCCATTCTGCCTCACATGTACCTTTGATGTCACATACTTATTGTAGAGAACTGGGGGCTGTTATTCAAAACTCCTTTAATTAGGGTTGCTTACACTGAAAAGTTTTCCCAGTAGTTCTAAAATTTACACATTAAATCAAAATGTATCATCACCTATATGAGTTCTGGTTTGGATCTTTGAATTTTCTTCCTTTATGATGTGGGCATAAATTTCTAATAATGTATAATAATACGTGTCTTTTTGTCTTAGGCTGATATTATGGATATTAATGAAATATTTAAACACTTAGGAACAATGATTCATGAACAGGGAGATGTGATAGGTAAGTCTACTAATTTAGATTGCATGGGGTGGGAGGAGGTTACATGTGACTTACTGCAGTAGCAACTGCTCCCTTTCATGTCTTGTAATTGGGGGAAGGGAAATTATTTAAAAACAAAAATAGAATATAGGCAAATAAATAGTGATAAGTGAGTGCTATGTGGAAAAGAAGGCCAGGGACACTTCTGGGGTAGAGGACATTACTGCTTTCTATGGAAGAAAGGGCCAAGTGTTACTGACAAGGTGGCATTTTAGTGAAGCCTTCGTAGAAGCAAAAACCAAAGAAGATAAGATGCTCCACGTGGAAGCACCAGCACTGTAAAGGCCTTTAGGGAGGAACATACCTGGCCCTCTTGTTGAGTGCTAAGAGCAAGAGGAAGGTCGTGTTTTTGTCTGAAGTCATGGGGTGGTGTCATGTGGGAACCTCAGGCACTCACTGTAAGAACTTTTAGTATTAACAACAAATGTAAAGCAGCAGTAGAATTTGAACAGAGTATTATGAACTGGGATAGGTTTTGAATACTGTCTTGCCTGCTGGATTTGGTATACATGTAAAGCAGCAAGATCAAAATCAATCAGAACACTTGAAAGGTACTACAGTAATCTAGATGAGTGGTTCTGTCGGCTTGCATCACAGTGGAAGCCAGAGGTAGTGAGAAGTGATGGATCTCTGCATACTTTAAAAATGTGGGGCCAGAAGATTTACTGATGGGCAGTGAGTGTGAGAGAAATAGTTAATTCAGGAGTGACACTAAGATTTTGAACTGATCTCGTAGCAGCGTGTTATTGCCATTTTGTTAGATGGTAAAGTATATACCTATAGATGTTTTAGAGGGGGATAAGGCAGAAATTTTTGGATATGTTCAGTATGATGATGAGTGAGAAAAGATGGCTAAACTGAAGTCTTTGCGTTATGTAGTTGGGAGTAAGTGCACAGATGGAGGATAGGCTCTTCCTACGTGTGTGTGCAGTTCCTGATCACACGAGAGGTCAGACCATTCAGGCTCTGCATGTACTGGATGATCAACTAGGGGAAAGTGCAGAATGCCTTCTGATTGCTCCTGTGCTCCAGTGAGCTGGAAGTCCAGGTTTCTGGTTGACAGTGACAATGCCTGAGGGGAAAGAGGAAGTTGGAGGAGAAAAGAGGGGAGCACAACGGTCTTTTATCTGTTAGAGAAATAGGTAGATTTACTCTCAGCAGTCAAGTGTTACTATGAAGTAAACCAATGTAAGTTTACTCCTTTTGCATCTGTGTTCAGCTGCATGGATTTTTGACATATTAATATAACTACAGAGGCTAGGGTGCTGCAGGTGCATCAAGATGGGGATGGTAATGCCTATGGAGTCCAAGCAAGGTAAAAAGGGAAGGGAGACTCAAGTGTGTGAGGGAAAGTGAGAATGTGGTAGGATTGTCATTGGAGAGCAGGCGTTAGACTGAGCTGTGACGATAGCAGATGGTCGGAGTGTAAGACTCTTGAAATTGTGGTCAAGGAGCACCTGTATGTTTTGGGTTGTGACCTTAGAACAGAGAGGTTGGGTTAACAGTCTCTAAAGAAAGTCTGATGGAGAAGTAGAGGGGCCTGAGTATTAGAAGGGTCAGACATTAGATAATGGAGTTACCAGTCTATATATATAAAATTTTTTTTTAGATGTATTTGGTTGTTACAGGGTCTCACTACACAGCTTGGACTTATAATGATCCTCCTGTTTGCAGCATCCCCAGTGCTGGGATTATAGGTGTGCACCACTATGCCTGGACTCTGGCCAGCTCAGTCTGCCCTGGGGTGGGTCTGGCACAGCATATTGTACCAGGGATCGAACTGGGTCCCTGCGCCTGTCTAAGCTTGCCTAAGCAGGTGCTTTAGTCTGCTGAGCTATCTCGCCAGCCCACCAGTCTTTATTGTAAGAGATGTGCTGAATAGAGTCAGTGAGTCTGGGCCTAAGATGCTCAAGAAATTAAAGACCATGAGACCCAAAAATGTCCACAACCTAGCTGGTAGAATGAACTTAATTGAATGAACTTCAAAACTGAGAGTTGGTAGGGAGGAGGAAGAGGCTTAAGTTTCTCATGCTGCAGAGTAGCCCCTGCACCACTTCCAAGTTAGAGGAGAATGGGAGGGAAGCAGCCACCTGGGAGCTATGCAGGCCCCTGGAGGGTTGGGGATAGCTGCAGAGCAAGTGCCACTCGTTAGTCCCTGTTCACCTTAATCACATTATTAGAACTAAACTGGCCTTTGTAGAATGCAAACTCGTTGAACATAGGTATTATGCTGTAATGGCTTTAAAGCATGTTGAATTTATAAAGAAATGATCAGCAAATTGAGAAATATCCATCCAAATTTTAGCATTTAGATCATGTTTTATTTCCCTCTGAAGACTCTCAAGGTACCATTTTTTCCCATGTGATAGGAAGAAGGTGGGTGGCCTCCCTTTGTGCTCACTGATCTTGACTTAGAACAAGCTACAGAGTTTGAGATAGATGAGCTCTTCCTCTGATACTGATTTAGCAATTGTAGGGTTACCATATTATTTGGGGTAGAACTAGAATTGAGTTGTAATGAAGATTATCATGCTCCTTTTTTTCCCCAAACATTTGTGTTGCTTGAATTTCCCGAGAGATAGTATAAAGAAGAGTTACATCTGCTTTTTAAAAATTGAACTTGGTTATTATTAATATGTGAATAGTGAGCATTGCAATCACCTTGAATGATATTTAGACATTTGTTTTTGGAGCAGCAATACATGTTAACAGTTTTATGTGTGTATTTATCTTTTAAAGACAGTATAGAAGCCAATGTAGAGAGCGCAGAGGTACATGTTCAGCAGGCAAATCAGCAGCTGTCCAGGGCAGCGAATTATCAGGTAATGTTGACTATAACACATTTCCTTGTAAGTGAAGCATTTGAATTTACAGGGTGTGTGGGTTGTGAGTTTCTAGGGCATCATCATGTTTAAAGTGGCTGCAGATGTTAATTTTACAATCTCATGGAAGAGGCAGGGGTTAGAAATACACAGCCAGCTTAAAATTGATTTTAGCCTGTTATTCTCCAGGATGAAGCAGTTAGTGGCCAGCAAGGACTGGAAGTTTAGTAGATGTAATAGTGTTTAGAGTGCTGAAGGCTGCAGTGGACAACTCCAGGTTTTTGAGATGTCATTGTGACATTCCAATTCAGAAACCCCTTTGATAGGCTTTTCATCCATCTTTTACCCTTTATGTTTAACTTTTCTTTCTTGTTGTCAATGCCATGTTAACTAAATTGGCATAGCTTATTTTACAAAACTCTCTTCAGGTTCTGTTATATTAACTTAGAATGTTGTTAATTGATAATCTGTCAGAATTGTGCAGACCCTTCTTCAGAATGATTGTTTCTTCAGTGACTCAAGAGAATGTGAGGAATCTGTATATAATTGTCCAATACAAATTATGTTTTAAACACTGTACACATATTAGGAATATGATCTACTAATGCATCCTATAATATTTAGAACTTTGGTGTACAGCATGAATAAAGCCAGGCCCATAGCATTTGATTTCTCTTTTAAAGAATTATTTGTTTCTTGTCCTTCATAATTATTGTTTTGAGGACAGGGAGATTAGCTCAGTAAGTCCTGAGTTCAACCCCCAGTACCAAAAAAATAAAAATAAAAAAGAAACAAAAATCTTAATTACTGCTTTTTCACTTTACCGCTCTCTTATGAGCTAATACTCTGTCGGCATGTTGCACGTCTCCATTGCGTCTCACTTTCCTCATTCACCTGCGAGTCACCTTTCCTGCCAGTGCTGTTGTTTCTCTGGCCACATCACTGCACATTCAGGAGTACGTGTTCCCTGATGAAATGACTCCTTTTTACCAGCTTTGTGCATATAAATCAGAAAGCAGCTCAGCAGCGTTATTATTGCCATGTCATGGACTTTAGGTGGGTCTCACGAATAGCTGAAAACATGTGCACTGTCCGTGTGCATATGCGTGAAAATGTAAAGGCCAGGAGTCTTGTGGACTGTTGGCGAATAGTTGCTGGAACTTGGGGGGGGGGCGGTCATCAGTGACTGAGTTTACTTTTTTTTTTGTTTTGCTCTTGCATTTGTTCTCTTTCTTGTGGAAGGAAAAGATTCTAGGCACGCTGGGGAAAAGCCGCCTGCCTCCCAAGCAGGTCTGGAGCGGCCTCCACATTCAATTCCTGTGGGCCAGAGGATAAGTGCGAGGCCACACGGGGCTAAGGAGGGGAGCGGCCTTCTGCACGGCTGCATGTGGAAGATGGGTGCTTAGTGTAGGCCCTGAAAGCCGTGATGCTGCTGAATAGCTCAGTGAACTAAAGATAACTAGGCAGTACTCACTGTGGTAGCATCCAAGGACTTAATTACCCCGCCCTAGGGAAAAGCTTCCAGGAGGACAGTACATCGTGGTGGGGTGTCAGTGGTGCCTGAAAAAGAGCTGCTGTATGCATAGGTCGTTGGTATCAGATGGATTGTGGGAAAAATATTTATGCGTGATGGTATTGAAACCAGCAGAATTGTGGTTAGTAACTGAGGAACGCTCAGTTGAAAAGTTAGATTAATATGTGGAATATTCAAAGTATTCATGATTTTCAGGGTAATTTTGGAGTCTGATGTGTGTCTTTTGTAAACTGTATAGTACTCCTTTTTTACACAAGTAAATTCACATATTTTTCTACTTTATAAGAAAAAGGACTCCTGCTTGTTGGTGTGAGTTATGCAAGACTCTAAAGAAAACACACCAGGGATGAAGAACGAATCAAAGCTCTTAACATTTGTGTTCTGAATGACAGCTTTATAGTTTTGTTAACTTTTGTGGCTTTACTTTCTGTGTTGACATTTTTGAATACCTTTATCAGAGAATAGAAACAGTTTTGAAATTAATTTACTTCAGTAAATGTTGCCAAATGTTTTTACTTGCTGAACCTTTAAAAGTACTCATTTTTAACAGTAACTTTTTGGTAAAAGTTTAAAACTTTCTAAACTTTTAAGCTGTTAGGTAATCTCAATCTGTGCTTCAGTCAGCCAAGTTTTCCTTTCTCTTTTCTTTGAAGCATCATTACACCCCCAGAAAACTTGCCAGCAGTATGTAACATTGCCACTGAACCGCAGCACTACTTCATGAATATTTTTTGATGATATAGTACCCTGGATGTGGTAGATTTTTGAGAAACAACTAGGCAGCCAAAGCTTTGAGGGCAGTAAGCTATGATTCTGCTCTTGACGCTAGCCGGGGTCTGTTCAGTTGCTATGGCGGCACCACTGAGTCTGTAAACATGTCTTTTGTTTTTACATCTGCAGCGCAAATCCAGGAAAACCCTGTGCATCATCATTTTTGTCCTTGTCATTGGAGCTGTGATTGTCGGTCTCCTCATATGGGGACTGAAATCCTAAAGTCATGCAGAAGCAGACCGCTGTACTATGTTGTCTAGATCACGTAGGAAGATGCCTGTAATCATGGTTTTATTATTATTTAAAAGCTATTGCAAAGGATGGTTCCCACACTTATTCTTATGGGGGCAAAGGGGTTCCTTTGGATTAAATATGATATTTTCTAATAAGTGAAAGTTTTTCTAAGTATCATTGCTGGCATAGCTGTCATGCTTTTTAATTTAATAACTAGAAGGTTTCTGTCCACATTGCACATGGCTTTCATTTGTAATTTATTTACCTGTTTGACTTTGGGAATTAATAAACTTATAGCTATGCATATGATGTGCACATTTCTCTGTCACTGTATAACATGCACCAGATTTATGTTACTGCAGTTAAAACCTCTTTTATTTGGACCAGCAAAAAAAATATTCTCAGTAACTTAAAAACTTAATGCATCTGTTTGTATTTATTTTCTAGTTTAAAGTAACACAAATTATCTATTTCATTTTTATTATTTGATTTTTTGAGACCCCTGTTTTCTCTGAATAAAATTAATGAATACTTTTCAGGTATATCTTACGCATCTGATGTGTATATATTAAGCATTTGTGATAGATTGCTGAGTAAAAATAGTAAGGTTAGATTGTCCTTATGTGTGGTCTATTAAAGTCTGATATTTACTAAGAGAAGTGTAGTTACTATAAATGTGTAATGCAATTTGGAGAGAAAATATTAAAAAATCCATACCAATTTCTACTCTGTTTGGATTCTGCAGTCTAACTTGTTATTCCACTGAACTATTCTAATAGTACCCTCTGAGCTTGTGGACCATTATTCACTTTCCTTATGCTTAAAGAGTAATGGCTCCATGTGTGTCTTTTGGTCAGACTTACTTTTAGACTGTACTTTTCCTACTGTCACTGTTTTTGAGCACCTGGTACTTAAATTGTGCTGCTTATATTCTATGCCATTTTGTACCATGCTTTATTAGAAAAGAAACTGGAGGTCTGCCAGGCACTCCCTTGCCTTTTTCAATCAAAAATTGTTTTAAGGCACTAATCTGAATACTGTAAAGAGGATTGATTAACTTAGTTTGTAGTTTGTATTTTTTAATGTTCTTATATAGCAGTTTGGTAGTGAAGACATTGCTTAACATGGCAAGCTGTGAGCTTCACATGGGAACAAATGAACTATGAAGTACGTAAATAAATTGAATCCTTGCAACCAAAATAAAAAAGACTTAAAAAGGTGTCCGCACAGGTCTGTGTTCTGTGGACTGTGCATTCTGGGCACCATCACTACTTCACATTTCGGTGCTGTGCTAACTGAAATCTCTACACCGGAGGTGTAACCACATGCGCTGTGGCTGTGTACGATCTTCATCTGTTTGATCACCAGGTTACTCAAAATTTTTATTTTGAGAACATTAAGCATTTTTGTCACTGACAAATAGCAACTGCTTTGCATGTCAGCAAAACTTTTTTTTCCCCAAAAAAGAATTGTAGAAAACTTTTTTGTGAGTGGAACTTGGAAACTTTGTACTGCTAGAGTGAAATTGCCTTCGCAAACAGAATGGGCAGTGCACAGAGAATCATACACCTACTCCCTGGCCCAGGCCACTTGCACATGGTCTTCCCTGTGAGTGAGTACACAGGGACACGCGCGGCTTGCTGGCTGCATACGCGCACCATTGGTATCCATAGATCAGTTCACTCTTCTTCCTCAGTGTTCTGCTTTGTAAAATGTTTATTCTCATAGAGGCCAAGTGCATTTACTTTTGTTTATTTCATGTGAATTTTGAGTAACAATAAAAGCACTGGAAAATATCATTGGCATTTTAGTGCCTTTTTTGAAATACAGTCATTTATAAATTAACTGGGATGCCAATCAGTGATTTGAACAGGAACTTTAATGGTTTGTATATTTTTTTGAGCAGCATTAATTTTGAGACCAGAATGTACACAAAATATTTGGAACACAAAAGGGATAGTTTTAAATGAAAAAGAATAGTTTTAGATCATTTTTAGAATTGCATTGAAACCTAAAGGTTGCACTGTGGAACATAAAATGTAAATTTTCATGTCTGGACAGTGAGTCTGAATCTGTTTGATTCAAACTGAAGAACTTTCATCATCAAGTGACACGTGTTTACTGTATCACGCTCAAGAGATGTCTTTGAACAGCACAGCTGAAGAGCCAGGCTCTTAAAGGACAGAGTGAAGTTGTCTAGCTCTTTTGTTAGTCACTGAGTATTTTCAAAGTCTCAGCTTTATACAGTGACTGACAGCTAAAGAGTAAGTGGTGCCACTTTGATAGAGGGTGGTGTTCTTCAGCAGGCCTGATGATCTATGAGATAGGTGTGTGTGCGGGCACAGCTGCAGCCCCGCCACAGACAGCAGGCATGGACAGTGTCCCCGGCTGGGCCCCTCAGCACACGATCACCATCTGCACTGGGGACCAGCAGCACTGCCCCTCGAGGAGCCCGTCACTGGGTCATTCAGTGTCTTCGCTGCTTTTGTTAAAGATAGTAAAATCTTGTCTGCAAATGTTGTGTTATGATTACTAGCCTTTTAGAGAAAACTGTAATGAAAATAAAAATGACTTTGAAGGCTTTCCATTCCTTGAAAAAGATCTGTGATTTAGCAAGGGGTAAATAGAATAGTTTTTGTAGTTGGTGTATTTTTGATTTGTTAATGTAGAAAAATTGACATCATAATAAAAAATAAAACCTCTGTAAAGAAAATAGTCATTGTCCGCCTTACTAGCTAAGAACAATTTACAAGGGTAACTTATTCAGCACTTATTTCATGAAAGCTAAAACTGAATGTATCTCTTACCTGGACAGAATGCTGTAGTATAGCTAAAGTTTCAAAGTAGGGTTAAGTACATTTATTGGGGAAGTTGAAAGGTGACTGGCATTTTAATTCATTTTAATGTGGTGAAAGTTCCTCATCATTGGTAAGAACATCAAGCATCTTCCTTTCCTAAAGAAAAAATATTATGTGTTCTCACAGTTTCATTTATTGAAAACAAAAGCTAACCTTTAAATTCCAGACCTCGTCAGCCCACCACAGCAGTTTATTCTGTTAGCAAAAAAACATACTTACTGGATTTATAGGGAACAGTGACCTGATAGTGTTATAGTGTTCCACTTTGACCAAATTCGTGATATCTCTGCTTAACTACCTTAACATAGTTCATCAGTCACTGAAGATAAGATCATTTTCCCCATATGATTAAGAATATGTGTCCTCCAAATACCAAGGAGATAGGAAAGAGACTGCTTATCTAAACTATGTGTTCAACACACAGGGTTCTTTTCTTTTCTTTTTTTTTTTTTTTTTCCAGAACTGGGGATTGAACTCGGGCCCTTGCACTTGCCAGGGAAGCGTTTATTCCACTGAGCCATCTCCCTGCCCCCTCACACAGGGTTGTTTTCCTTCAGTTGGATTCTCCAAAAACCAGTGGACTCCATGAAGCAGCATCTCATTCTTAGTCTTAACAAGACAGAGAAAACCTGCCTTCTTTGTGCTTTTTCTTTTGCCCCACCTGCCTGAGGTTGAACCCAGGCCTCTGTGCTGAGCAGTATCCCCAGCTGTTTGCTTATTCAGAGGTCAGCGCTCACTGAGTGCAGTTCTGCCTCAGCCTCCCTAAGTGCTGGGATTGCAAGCATTTGGCACCACGTCCTGACTCTTAAGGATTTTTACATTGCAGTCAGGAAAATAGCACCACTCCACGCATTGTGAATGTAAGAGGGTTTTTGTTTTTAATTTGTTTTATTTTGATTAGTTTGGGGGTTACATTTTTTATATACATAATGATCACATTCATCAGAGGGAATTTATACTTGTATGTAATCTATCTTGTTTTTTTGTTTTTTTTTTTCCCATCCCCTTTCCTCCCTTCAACCCCTCTTCCTCTCCGTATTTATAAAAGCTTTGTTTCTGTTTTTTCTTCTTCTGTTCTGTTCTTTTCCCTACTTTTCCTTCTCCTTCCCCATCCCTTTTCTAACCTTTCCATTTGATTGTGTTCTGTTTTCCAGTGTCTATACACGTTTTAGTCCTTCCCCTTTCGATTTCTCACACCAGAGAAACAATGTGCTATTTAGACGATTTATTTCTCTTAAGAGCCTGGGCTCTTGGGTCTTGTTGTTTCCTTTTCCGTTCATTTCTGTCCCCATCTCCCTCCCATGTGGGGCATTAGAAGCTTCCTGTGTGGGAAATAAGAGGAAGGCATTGCAGGGCAGCACTGGGAGAATGTCAGGCACAGGCCTAGACGCTGTTGAGGCGCTCTTGAAGCGCTTTCTCTATGCCTACGGCACTGACCTCATGTGTCGCTCAAGGAGCTGTCACTGCTGGCTCTGCTACTAATGGCTCCAAAATTGGTGACTTGCAATACCTTTGGAAGCCACCATGAAGTCGGTGTCTGCAGCCTGCCTTGGAGCAGCCTTTGTGAAAAGAGGACTTCAGTTCTCACAGAAGTGCTTCCTGCTGGCCAGCACTAGCTAAGAAAGCAAAGCAGATTCTGGAAGTGTAAACGCAGGTGGTGACACAGTTCAGACTACCATAGCCCACGATGAAGCGCTGATGCACAGGATAAAGCACATGAAACGGACAGAAGCCTCTTCAGTTAAAGATCCATTGATAAAATAAAAAATTAAAACATACTTGAAGCATTGTTCTAGCAGTGAGTCACTTTTTCTAACCACAACCAGATGTTTATGTGTCAGGAGACTCAGGCCCCAGGGTCTAGCAGTTTCCTGCCTGCCCCCTACCCGCTTCTTTCCCTCACATCATAGCTCAGTGAACACTTGACTTAATTTGGCACTTTTTTGAGGTAGCCGTTTGCCAGGCTGCAATTTACATGGGTACAGGGAGTTTAAGAGTTAGCCAGGTGTGGTACATGCCTGTAGTACTAGC